AATAAAATAATAAAATAAAATAATAAAATAAAATAATAAAATAAAATAATAAAATAATAAAATAAAATAAAATAAAAATGCTCTCAAATCTGAAAGGTTTGTATTTCTCATGCCAAGGTCCAATGTTACAGAGATTTTCTCATAACGAGGAATTCTATAATTTCGGCTGCAGACGGTTAAGACGTGTGCTTACAGCTAACAGGAAGCAGCAGGTAACATAATAAATTGGTCAACAAAATAGGTCCAGAGACCTGGAAGCGTGGAGCCGACGGAGGGATGTCAGAGGGAAGGGGGGGAGAGATTAACCAAAGAACTTCTGTGCGTCTGTGCTTTACCCACGGACACAGACAATGGTGCGGGGAAGGCCTGGGGTGGGGGGTCCACGCTGGGGGGAAAGTGGGGAACATCTGTCCTACTTCCGACAATACTGATAAACTCACAAAATAGGAGCCACAGGTCGTTGCCTTCCCAACCGGTCTAAAAAGGAAGCAACGCTTCTTACGCGGTTGGATTTCACACAGTGGGTGACTGATTCTAGGAGGACTGGCCATGCAGGCGATGAGGCGGCCGGCTGCATCGCTCCTGCGCCGAGAGAGAGATTCGAGGGAACCGGCGAGGAGGGGGACCCGGGGAGGGCCCAGCAGACTCCCTGGTCGCTGACGATGCACCCGAGATGCCAGAGGGCACCAGGCAGGGAGAGGTGGCACGGCTGAGTTTGCAGGAGGAGGCCTGCAGGGTCCCCTTGGAGCACTTTGCAGGGCAGGGGTATTGCTCCCAGATGGAGACGGAGCCGTCCAGCGGGATTGGAAGGACGCAGCTCAGTCCACAGCGCCCGTTCCTCTCAGCCAGGGGGAAAATCCCCTAGTGTACGAGGCATGCTTCGTTCAGGGCTGGGAGATGTCCGTTCTCGCGAAACCAGTCCCCCGGTTCCACACGATCCCCGTCCAAAAATATACTCAGCTTCCAAAATTGATCAGCTTTTTTCTCCTAAAAATTCACATGGGAATGTAAAGAACCTAGAATTGACACCCACACGCCAGACACCAACGCCGAAGAGCAGATTTGGAGGTCTGGTCGTATCTGATTTTCAAGGCACCTTCAAGGCCCGGTAACCAAATCAGGGCGATATTGGCGTCGGGATAGATAAACAGCCGGGCTGGTGAGGCTCAGCGGTTGTGGGTGGCCCTAGGATCCAGGAGGTGGCCGGTTCGATTCCCGGTCGGGCCGCATGCCCTGGATCCCCAGCAGGGGGCGAGCAGGAGGCAGCCCATCCATGACTCTCATATTGATGTTTCTCTCTCTCTCCCTTCTTTTCTCTGAAATTTAAAGTAATAATAATAAATTAAAAAGATAGATAAATATATATGTTCTTTAGCGCATCTGCTCAGATTCTTTCCTCCAGGACCCCTCCGTTCTGACAGCTTAACCCACAGACTACAGGGCGGTGATGGCCGGAGGG